GGGGGTGTGCGGAAGCTTGGAGGGGGCTTCTCAGGGCCACCGAAGCAGTAGCCAAAGGAGCGATGCGTCCCGGGCGGTGTGGTTTGGGGAGGCTTCGGCAGTGGCTCCCGGGTTCTTTGTTCGCAGTCTTCTATAACTGCTAGCCCTCCGGCTTCTTCAGGGGATGCTAGCTGCTGTTGCAAAAACAGGCTTAAAAGTACGAAAAGCTGAAATATTGGGACTTGGTGTTTTTTTGAGTCTGCAGGCAAACTTTGTGAGCCTTGCTTCTACCCACACATTTATAATGGCACAGTGAAATGAAATCATCGAGATACTGATGGATTTCACTGTTGCCTTTCATAAATCATTACTAATATATCAATTAAAAAAAACCTGTTTGGTGGGGGGAAAGACCAAATACGTTAGAGGTACTAAAAAAGCAACAGGGAAAAGGTGACAGATACTGACGTGAAGGCTCAGAAGAGCTGCAGTGTCACAGGTGTTCCCTGCTGCTGTGTAGCAGCCAGCTCCCACGGGAGCAGGCTGTAGTCATTGCCTGTGTTGGGTGACAGCATTTGATGAGGTATACACTTCTGATAGCGTACTTCCCTTTCCTCCTCTACCTGTGTAGAGCACCATGCAGGCTGGTTATAGTTTCCTCCGTTCGTGAGCAGTGTTGGAAGATACCACAGAGAAATGGGGTTTGGAGACTGCTGCTCTCGTGGTGGGATAAAACAGCAGACAACCGCTTAACCTGCACGATGGGGTTATGCTGCACTGATAAGTTCTCGTTTCATGTCTGATGACCACTCTTCCCTTTCCATAACTGACAAGCTTGTCATCTTTTGCAGTAACACAGTGTGTCTGTGGGTCATCTTGGAGCTGTTTGCAGAAAGGCCTGCAAAGGCGGTAGAAAACAGGCGTGTCTGGCCCGTGGGGGGAATCTTGCTGTCATGAGCACACTCTTGGGTTGCAGGCTGGTATGATGACTTCACAGGTCATAACAGCGATATTGAGAAACCCATTAATAGTAAGAAATTTCTCTCCTCCTGTATCTGACTGCGCAGCTTTAAAAGGAAGAAGTTGTTATTTCTGGTTATTAGATGATGGGGAAACAGCACCTCTTACTTTGTGCCTGCCAGCAGCTGTAGACAAGATACTGTCCCTGAGCAGGGCTAGAGAAAGCACTCCGAGCACCACGGGAGGTGGCTGATGATGGGAAGAAGTTGAGATTTTTGCGATGGCAGTGAGTCACCCTGGGTTTGTTTGCATGCTTGCTGTCTGGCGATGGGAAGGAACTTGTTGGTTGAATGATACAAGACAAACATCTTCAGTCCTTGCGAGGAGCTAGTGATGCATTTCAGCCTGTCTAAAGCTGGGGGTCAACTATACATTTAATGCCACATCTGGACTGTTTGAGCTTAAAAAGTGGTTTTCCTCCAGTGTAGCCCAAGTGGTTTATTTCAGCTTAGCGTTTTGCTGGCTGACTCTCTGGTGTGAGGCGGTGCTGTGAGAATGACGTTTTTGTTTATGTCAGAACTGGAAGCAGAATAGCTTCATGGAGTTGTGCTCGGAGTAGTTAGCCTTGCTTAGATGATCAAAGTGCTTTTATTTCCAGCATTGCTACCTCTGCGCTGCATTGTGCCGTGGTTCGTAGCCTTCTTCCTCATGTCCTGCATGAGATTGGCAACACAACTTCTTTACTGCTCAACAAATTGCTGTCTCGTGTATCTGGAAGCTTGGAGTAGTCTAGATGAGTGTCAATGGGATTTCCACCTCCTCCTCTTATACGCAAAACTGGTGATGTGTGTTGGGAAGACCAGGGACTGAAGAACCACGCAGGTCTGTCTTTAGGAAACCATTGTGTGAAGCAGCTTATTCCTGGGCAGTATGAGGGATGAGCCATCAAAGAGTTTTCTGCTGTCAGAGTTAGCAGGGATTGATGACAACGTACGGCCAGTCGTGTTTTAATGGTATCTTTGTGCTGGACTGTGCATCACAGAGACAGAATCTCTGAATCCTGTTGTAGTTCATTTGACAGTTGCCAATTGTGCTTGTACGTGAAGGCTTAATACATGTTGGTTTGTTGTAGAATACAACTTGTAGAACAAATCTCTAGAAGATGTTACATTTGAGACGTGACAGTTGGCCAACCAGAATTCCGTCATGCTTTACCTCAGTCTCTTTCCTCTCTTCTCTCCATCTAGTGTAGGCATGCTCAAAAGAGGGACCTCCTTAGCCTCTTATCAGGGTTGAATTTACATGAGGAATGAATCTACATGAAATTTTTTTGCCCTATTTAGAACGGCAAGAGTGGAGGCTGCAGTTGGTCTGGCAAAGTTGGTTTGGGTTTTTTTTTCCTGTAATAAAACAGGATTCAACTAAAGGTACAGGAGCTTTCTGAAACCACTTCAGAACTTCTGCACATCCATAATGTGTACACACAGGGCTCTGCAGGGGTTTTGGGTTTTTTTGCAGCAGGTTTTGTGCTTGGGCAACTCAGATGGTGGTTGTTGTCTGTAGTCAAAACATGGTCTTGTCCATCGTGACTGATAGCATTTCTTTTGAGGCTGCTAAAAGTCTAAGAATCCGTCCTGCTCTGCTGGGCTAGTGCACTGAAGAGCATGCTTTTTCCAGTGCTGTTATAAAAGGTTATTGAGGTAGGCAAAGCTTTTTATTTGAATAAAAAAAAACCCACATAAAAATCAGGGTGATTTTCATGTGAAACTATTCATAGAGCCAACTAGATTTCTTGAGCAGCCTGTGCACCGACATGTACAGTGTGCAAGTGGATCCTTGAACTAGAGTCTGTCTTAATGCTTAGGGTTTTTTTTTCTTTTAGATACTGTGCAAAATCTGTGCTGCTAGTAATAAAAGTAGTATCAGAGCTCCACAAGCATTTGGCACTCTGTATGCCAGTATTATCTCCCAATTCTTGACTCTGGTTCTACAGCCCCTCTCTGCTTCTCTGTCTGCCACAAGCGCTTCCAGTTCTCAGCTGGATGTCTGGCAGCTGCTGCCTCTCGGATGTCTCCGCTTCCCCAGAGAGGTGGTCGGGCCCAGTGGTGCTCCCCGCCTCCTTCAGCGCCCTGTGTTGGGGGAGCCAGGATGGGACGGAGAGATCTTGGCGGGTCCCGGGAGGGAAGCTGCAGAGGGGGTGACTGCGTTTGAACCCCACCAAACGCAGGGGAAGGGAAGCTGGAGGGCAGAGCTGCCGTGTAGAGGGACCTGAGCAAGTGGGAGGAACGGGCCGGCAGGAACCTCACGGTGTTGAGCAATGCTCGTTGGGTTACGTACGTCAGCCGACCGTCCCTGCGCGCAGGGGTGCGCTGGCTGGGCAGCAGCTCTGCAGGAAAGGACCGGGGCTTCCCGCAGATAGTAAATGCGAGTTAGCAGTGCGCCTTTGCAGCGATGAGGGCAAACTGGGCGGCACTAGTGAAGTGTAACCATCAAGTTGAGGCAAATGGTTGTTCAATTACCCTGCTGCAGTCGGCATTAATGAGGCCACATCAAAACAGCGTCCTGGTTTGGGCGCCCGGTTCATGAAAGATATCAACAAACTGGGGAGAGTGCGGCAGAGGGCCACCAAGGTGGCAGAGGACTGGAGCCTGTGACACAGGAGGAAAGGCTGAGGGAACTGGGCTTGTCTTAGCCTGGAGAAGAGAAGGTGAAGGGGCAAGAGTCTGAAGCCTTTTACTGCCTTTAATGGGCTTGTAGTGAAGAGAGGGCCAGGTACATGTCAGGTGTGCCCAGTGACAGGAAAGAGGCTACGGCCACAGGTGGCCAGAGGAGAATTTTGAATTGGACACGAGGGAAATTCCTCACTGCAGGAGTGATTAAGTGCTGGAACAGATGCCCAGAGTGGCTGTGAAGTCTCTGGCCTCAGACAGTGTCAAAACTCAATGGACGAGGCCCCTGAGCAACCTGTCTGAACTCTGAACTTGGTCCTGCTTTGAGTAGCAGGTTGGCTTGGAGACCTCCTGGGGTTCCCTCTGACTGAAACAGGTAGTAGCACTCCTGGTGCCGTCATCCCGTGCCAAAGTTTCTACCTTGTGCTGAAATCCCTTGCGGCAAGTTCCCTCTGCGTCGCTGTGATGTGGGAAGTTAGCCAGGCAGGGAGCGTCTCTGATTCACAGATCGCATCCTCCTTAACTCCATGTCTGAATGTTAAGAGGAGTGCAATAATTGGTGGCATCTCTGCAATGTTTTTTTTTTATTTAAATAATGAAATATTTAAACATGACTCATAACTTAAAGCGTGTGCATTTTGAAGTGCTTCTTCTGATATTGAATGGTTAAGTTACATGAAAGTATAAAAGCATCATTTTAAAGTTGGAATTTCAAGTAACTGTCACTTTCTCTTTTTAAGGTCAATGAATGGTCCTTGAAGATAAGGAAAGAAATGAGAGTGATTGATAGACAGATCAGAGGTTTGTACTTATGTCTCATTTTTTGTTTTTCCTTTCCATGTCTGCCTTCAAGGTTTTTTTGCTTTAATTGAGGGAGGCTGTGAAATCTAATAACCTGGGGGTACTCTATGGCATCTGTAATAAAGGAAGGTGAATGTGGTCCTGCGGCCACTTAGCCTGTGTTACAAAGTGACGGCGCTGTGAAGTTCTCCAAGTAAAATTTTCAAAAGAACCTGAATATTCTGTGCTTCCAGTAAGACATAATGCTCTTAAATCCCATTTGATAAGATGGATTAGACTTATTATCCAGAACTTCAGCCGTATCGATTTAACGAATAGTATCGGTGTGATATGTAATTCCACATGTAGAAGTTCCGTGGGTTTGTACTGGCATGAAGTGCACATGCTAAACAAAAGTAGCTTGCTGGCAGCTTGGGAAAACTGCAAACAGGAGAGAAGGGGCGGGGGGAGACTTTCTCAGTGGGACTTTTGCTATTAAATTATGGGCGCTACAATTCTGAAGACCAGAGGAGTTTCTCATTATTCCACTGCTGCTAGCTCAATTTCTTGTTCTCTCTTCTGCCCGCCTTCCCAGAATCTGAAAATAGGTTTGGGGCAGATTCTGTTTTCCCCTTTTTGTCTTCTGCCCTGCTCTCAGGATTAGTCCATGGGATGTGCTGGTAAAGGATATTTTGCGTCAGCGTCTGGTTCTTAGGCACATGCCCGTTTTGAGTGACTCCTCAAGGAGTACGTTCTGCCTTCTCCCTTTGTATGAGTTGGTTGGAGAGAGATGCTTGTGCAGTACAAAGTCCGCCTTTGTCCTCGTCTGTGAAATGAGGACAGGGTTTATGCCTCTTCCAGGAAAACGACGCACAGTGATGTTCATTTTGCTTGTGAATTGTTTTGCATTCTCCAAGGCACTTTGTGTGGCTGTATTGGGCACAGAGCAACCAAAATGTGGCTGATCTTATTAGCAGGGTATGTTTTAGAGGTCGCATCTTCCATGGGAGCAACTACCCACATGTTCGCTATTGATGGCTTCTTGAAATTTTGGTTTTCTCTCAACTTTATGCATGCCATAATACTTCTAATGGCCTATTTAGATACTGGGTTATGTGGTAGTCTGATATTTTGACGTGGATGTAAATCTAATTATTGTAACTGCTCTAAACATCTCTGTATATGTATTTCAGAGTGTTACATTCAAAGAAATACAGTTCAGTACATAAGAGCTTAGACTAACCATCAACCATCTGCTATTCTGATAATTCCCATTAAAATACAGTACAGAATATCTTTGTAATGCCCATATTGTGCTAGGATTTCACATCTTACCAAGTGTCGGCTGTGGAAGTACATGGTTCTGCTGGACACTTAGCAGGCTAGCAGGCTACTGCTGAAAGATGATGGCCATGTGCCACTAAAGGGTTTTTTTTCCAAAATTACCCACTGTAGTTGGATTCTGCCATGCTTTATCATTTCGATTGAGATCTACACAGGAAATCGCTGTAATCTTTGAGTAAGGATGCTGAGCTGGGACCTGTCTTAGTTTCCCTGGGGAAGGCTGTGCTAGGTGTGTTTTGATACGGCAACACTCAGATCCACTTGGGATGAACTGAGTGGGCTCGGATCACTCGAACACTTGGCTCGCCCAGTCAGCGCAGTTACTAATATAGCAACACACTGTTTCAAACCATCTGTTGTTGGACTCTTGCTGTTGTCATGATTTCTGTTTGATGTAGGTTGCTTTTGAGGGCTTGGAAGGTTTGAAGAAATGAAAGGTATCCTTGTGACTCAGAATTGAATTTTTCAAATTCATATAGCTAATACAGTAACTTTGTGCTTTACTGAGCTTGCACGTGCCTCTCGCAGGTGCTTTGAACTGCTCTGTGCCTTTCTTGTGCTCAGTAGTGCTGCAGAGGGGACCGGTGTAGTGACTTTGGCTCACTAGAGGCACATAGCTGGCATTGACCTTCAAAGGTGGAGTTGGCCATTCTTGCATATTTTGTGCCACTAATCTCATATTCAGCAGTTCATCATGCAAGTGAAAGCATTCACTCGAGCATGGGGCACCACTACTCCAGTTTAGATGTCGTAACACAACACTTGTCATTGGTTTTAGCCTGACAAAGTGAGTGTTGTAATTCCTCAGTACTGCTGGAGTACTCCTGGTACTTTCTGGTTTTTGCTGTAGCACTTCAGCTGTTTCTCACCTGTTCTGATACGCTGGGGCTTGGCTCACTCCCTTGTCTGACATACAGATGTCTTCAAGCGTGTGACATTTCTGCAGATACTAGCGGGGAAGCAGCAAGGAGTACATTTTTCTGGTTATGATCCTACAGATTTCTGCCAGTCCTTTACAAAAAAGACGCCATTGAATGGTACTGAGAGAATGACTCATCTTGAGTACAGGGTTTGCTAACTCCCACGTGAGAAGCTGCGTCAAAGTCTTCAAGTTGGCCCGTGCCAAAAAGTGTGCTTTGATGCCTTTGTTTTTATAAAAGGGCAACTTCTTATTCTTGCCTATGTGTAACTTCTGTCTGGTGTAAATCAAGAAGACTCAAACAAAAACAAATTTGAACAAAGCCTTTGCTAGAAATAATTGTTCTTGTGGTCATTTCTTTCAACTGTTTGCAGGAACGTGAGCCTGACCCTTACCATCTGAATTCTTTATTTACTTTAGGATAATTTTTTTGCGGACTCTGAGATCCACATTTCATCAGTGGCTAATTTATTGCTGAGTCTGGAAGGGGAAGGGGGTTGATATAGCCCCTGCTTGTTGCTGTATTTCTTACTCTGAGCTTTTTGAGGTACCTGGCTTTTGCTGTACACAGCCAGTGTTACCTGACAAGGCAAACGTGAACAGTCACCCCAGATATGCTAGAGAAACCTACATTCTTTAAGGAAGCCTATTTAGTGTATAATATTTCAAATCCAACTATTTAGTGCTCATTTTGTACAGGCTTAGTTATAGAATCATAGAATCGTTTAGGTTGGAAAAGACCTTTAAGATCATCCAGTCCAGCCATTAACCTAACATTACCAAGTCCACCACTAAACCAATTAAGGGGAGAGTAAGTAGTTCAGTATGCCTGTTCCAGCATGCTCTTATAAAAAGCTGTTGAATGAAGCTGGATACCAGCAGAGTCTGAACAGGCTGCTTTAAGTTACATCTAACGATTTACCAGCATGCTAGTTTTCACTGATAAATTATCCATAGCTTTGGCACCAGCCAGCCAGCTTATAATTTGAATGTGCTAGTCTGTACAAGCACCTAATGCACGTGTCTTGAAGTATGAGCGGTATAAACTCAAGACCTTAACTCTTTAAGTACAAGTATAGACTTGGCTGGGTATCCAGTTGAGGCTCAATTGGTTGTGCCTGACGGGAGAATAACTAAGTCTGTCTGCAAGGATGAAGGCTGCTTTTGGCAGTAATTAACAAATCCATAGTTCTGAGTAACTCTTAAAGTTGTGGACACACCCTTACAAATTCACTATATAAATGGTTATGCTTTTTTTTTTTTTTTTTTTTTAAAGGCAGTGTGTATCTAAAACTTTCTAACCTCCGTGAGATCAGCCTTCTACAATTCTTTCTGAATGTATTTTTTTCAGAAAAAAAACCACATTTCGGGGATTTAGAAAGAGTGAGGACTGTTTTGCCTACAGCAGCCCTCAAATTCACTTGAAGGTGGGTGTATGGGTCAAGCTTTGAATGTAGTCTGACAGGTATTTTTGCTAGGAAAATGCCTGCCTGTCTTCTGAGAGTACTGGTTTTAAACTCCTTGTGACAGCTTTGTTCCTTCCTGGTGAAGGAGGGCTGTCTGCTGATGAACACAGAATAGGTAATCTTGTAAGCAGCAAATCAGTACAGGAGTCTTAAACTGTGTGTGTATATATTATATATGTGAGTATGTATTTTTATGTATATCTTTATATCAGGCAGTTTAATAGTTGGGAAGTTATTCTGAAGTTGTAAGTCAAGTAGGCATCTCAGAGTGCTTTGTTCTTACTGGACCTTTTTTGCTTCTTAAGAATTCATCTTAAATCAGCTCAGCTTCATGCAGTGATATTCCTGGACAGTAGTCTTAACTGCAAAGGAAATTAGCTGGATGTTTAGTAATGAGAATTTTCCTATTAATATTTAGTTGTGTTAATCAGCTGACATGCAAATCAGCCTAGAACAAGGTCTTTGAGTAACAGAGGGGATCTGAAATCGAGCAGAAACGATTCTTTGCATTGAAAATAAACCCCAACAAATGACTCTTCTAAATCCTTAGCAGTTTGTTGCTATTTGCTTTGCTTTTCTGTACTCCAGATATCCAGAGAGAAGAGGAGAAGGTGAAACGGTCAATAAAGGATGCTGCCAAAAAGGGTCAGAAAGATGTGTGTGTGATCTTGGCAAAGGAACTGATCCGCTCGCGAAAGGCCGTAAGCAAACTCTATGCATCCAAAGCTCACATGAACTCTGTTCTCATGGGGATGAAGAACCAGCTTGGTAAGAACAATTTCTAAGTGCTTCTAGCTTTAGAGGCGAGGTCTAGGTTTCCATTTTCAGAACCAAGGTCAAATGCAGGCAGAGCTTGAATTTGGAAGCAGCCCTACTCTTGTGAAAGGCACCTGATTCCAGTGGGCTTCAGGACCCAGGGAAATTCCTCCCGTCACAGGCCCAGAGGCGTGAGGCTGCTGCAGGTCCATGTCCCCGCATCCAGCTAGGCTGAGCACCAGGGAAGACCACAAACCGCAGGGACCTACAGCTCCAGGTACCAGCGGCTCAGGCAGAGGAAAACGTCTGGGGCCTGTTACGTGCTCGCAGCAGCGCCTTTACCAGCACCTGTGCAAACATATGCAGCTTCCACACAAATGTGAACAGCGCTGACAGCTCAGTCCTGGTCTTCCTCTTCAGCTGATTAGGACTGAGGTCTGCTAGTGGAATACCCATATACATGCACATGTGCACAATATATGGGTTGTTCCCATAGCTGTTCTCGGTCTAAGCTGGCCGGCTATCCGGTAACTGGCCCCAGATCTTCGCCTCTGCCTGAGCTGCTGGTACCTGGACCCGTAGGTCCCTGCAGTTTGTGGCCTTCCCTGGTCCCCCTTCAATCCCTCCCTTTTTCCACTTTCAGTCCTTCCCCTGAACATCCAATAAAAAGTTTCTCATGTTCAGTCACATTCCTGCAATCCCCTTAAAAAGAGTCCATAATAAGTTTTTCTCGGTTCAAAAAAATGCTCTTTTCCCCCACATCCCATACCAGTTCCTACACAGCTGTAGGCAATAACCCCCTTCAGTCTGCAGGGTGTTCTGGAGACTGTTTCGCCACTGCCCTGTCTGGATGGGTTTCCCACCCTGGGCTCTGGAGTAGCCAGGGAGCTCCCAGTTAGCTTCCTGGGGTTCCTACCCCTTGTTGTTCCCTAGATCCTCGCTGGCTCACTGTGTTTCCTCTGATTAGCTGCTCAACAGATAACCCAGCACCCGTCCTCAGAGCCTGAGGGTTGCAGTGACGTGAGAATCACGTGCTCTGAAACAGAACTCCCAGTAATTTGGGGCACGTGTTCAGCGTCTGTTCCTAAATGGTTTGAATGCGTGCCTAATATCCCTGTATCCTTGTGGAGCCTGTTGCTGTTACTGATTTTGACAGGATCTGCAATGTGAGGTTGATTTCCTTCAGTAGAATTCCCTTCATCTTGTAAATTACTGTTTCTCTAGCGAGACTCTTGGGATGCTTCCTAAGCCCTAAATGGAGCGGGCGGGCAGTGTTTGATTTCCTTGATGTGGATGAATCGGTTTGCTCTGTGGCTTAATACCAGCTCTCAGTAAACCCTTTGTGCTCCCCCAGTACCACCGTATTTCCCTCATTCCATCAGAACTCTGTTGTAACAGGCTTCCTGCGGTATTTTCCATACCTTAGAGCATTCCAGTCTGCAAGGAGAGCAGAGCAGAAAGCATGAAAGACAGGGAGGGACTTGGTGGAGGCTAAAGTGCACTGAAATGTCAAAGTGTTTTCCCCCACCCCAGCATTATCCAAGCTAGTTGCTAGGAAATTTTAACACTGGATGAGTGATAAATCAGGAGTGGCAATGTGAACCTTAAGCGTAATCTTACGGTAGCTCAAATGTGGCTCCCCAGGTACGTCATTCAGGAAGGGGAAGCAGAGGCCATCCTTGCAGCTCGAGGTGTCCTTTAAAAGGAAAAACTCCTTATTACCGCTACCGGCATCTTCATCTTACTGGGAATGTTCTGATAGACTTGCCCAAGCCATGGGAAGGAATCTAGAATTCAGTCGGGGCTTTGTGTTCACTTGCTTCACCTTGGGGAAATGACCGCTAAAGGCAAGATTTCTGTGAGTTTGCTAAGGGTAATGTTCTTAAAGAAATTAAATATTAAAATGAGAAATAATATATGCTATACCTTCATTTTGCTTCATTAAGCAGTGACCAATTTATACACAAACAGGTAAGTTCTCCATGGCTAGGAAGCTGTGAAGTTAGATGGCACAATTCAAGAACCTTAAAGTACCCTTAATTATTGCATTTTGATCTTAATGTATCAACATATATGAGAAGAGCTTTTAAGAGTAGCCTCTGGAAAGTAGCCTCTGGAAAGATGGCTGTTAAATTCAGTTTAAACTACACGTTTCCAGCTTATCTGCTTCAGTATTAATTTTCTAGCTTACTGTTTGCTGTGAAACTATTGCTCTAGAACTTCTGCCAGCGTTCGTTTCCACTACCCAGTGCGGGGCGGAAGGTCGCTGGTTTGGGCAGCGGTCAGGCGTGGAGCTGGGCTGTAGCTCCACCGCTGAAGCCCTCAGCAAGAGCTCTGGCTGCTGAGGGGCACAGGCAGGCGCTGCTCGGGGATCTCTGGATGAACGGCGGTGCAAGTGGGTTGAAATCTCTCTGCAGGAGATCTGGATTGCTCCAGCTAATCAGACAGGGCCGGTGTCTTTGCTAGAAACCTATTTTGCCCCATGTGGGTAGGAGTTGAGCTTTTCCAGGAAGGTAGACAAGAATGAAGAAGCAGGATGCCCGTTTCTTTTTTTAATTAAATTGCCTAAATGCAAACAAATTTCTGTCCGCATAGATATAATTCTTCTGCTTTTGGTGGTGTGTGGGTCCTTCAAGCTTTTCCATGCCTCTCCTTCACAGCTGTCCTGAGAGTAGCAGGTTCATTGCAGAAGAGCACAGAAGTCATGAAAGCTATGCAAAATCTAGTGAAAATCCCTGAAATCCAAGCAACGATGAGAGAGTTGTCCAAAGAGATGATGAAGGTAAGATCTGTAACGTAAATAGGACTTGGGTGAACAAGAGGTGGTCGTTAGCGTGCACTGTGCAACCGCGTCGGTGGCCCCTTCGTCAGAGGGCTTGTGTGAGCTCTGACAAAGAGAAATTGAAGTAGCGCATTAATAGCCGGGGACTTTCTAGCAAGTTGCCGTATGTGGGGCAAACGCTGACTCGGTGATAGCTGCAACACGTTTGGTGTAAAGCTTGGAGCCGAAAACAGCTGCTCAGGTGGAGGGTGGGAGGAGGAAGCCTGGTCCCCGTGCAGAGCGGCTTGGTCACCCTCGTCCCACGGGCGGGGGGGACAGAGGCCCGAAGCAGGGTTCACAACTGCGCCCAGCGACTGCCCATGTCCCCAAGCTTCTGGCTGCTCTGGCGAGACTCCATTTCCTGCTTTCAGGGGTGAAAACGTTCATTAAGGAAGACCCGCCACAGCCTGTTGCGGAGTGGGAAGCTGAAAGTCCCGTCTTGGGCAAGATGGCTGTTCTGGTACTGGGTTTAAAACACCTAGCCGAGTGTCTCCATCTGATCAAAGTGCTCTGGTTTTCAAGTGTAGTGATTCTCTGTCGTGGCTATTATCTTTTCAGCTACCAAAGTTGTTTTGCCTCTTTCCCCCTTACCACTCTAGACTGATTACATCAAATCAGCTTATTTCTTGATAATTCTACCATCATGTACCAGAACAATTTGGCCATATCTAGGCTGCAGGCCCTGCAGAGGAATGTTTTCAAACGCAGATAGAAAAAAAGGGAACCCATGTCAAACACTAATTTTACAGCATGTTACACAATTTATGCTTCGTGACTGAAGTTTGCAGTTGCATTTCACGTGCTTGGAGCAAGCTGGCTTGTCGGCATTTAGACAAGGAACAAGGAATAATAGCTCGAGGGTTTCAAAGCGAGAGCGCGTGTATGTAACCCTCAGCTTTCTTACCGCTTTTCCTGTGCGCCAGCCGTACAGGTACATGCTTAAGCTGTAGGCAAGCACGTTTCCAGCCCTCGTGCAACGCACAGCCTCGATCGGGAAGGCTCGAGCAGGAGCGAGCGGTTGTTAAGTGCCTGGGTAGGCGTAACCTGGTCTTGGAAGTAGGAAGCGCGTCCCCTTACTCTGCTGTTTCTAAGGGCATCAGGCGCTGCCTTTTTGTTCTCTGCTAGGCTGGTATCATAGAGGAGATGCTGGAGGACACCTTTGAAAGCTTGGAGGATCAGGAGGAAATGGAAGAGGAAGCCGAGATGGAAATTGACAAAATCCTTTTTGAAATTACAGCTGGTGAGTTTGTGCGTGCGCGCCGAGAACGGAGCCTTGCCCCGGCTCTGTTCAGTAAGACGCAGCGATTTAAATCTTCGTCTGTTCTGACTTCGCGGCGCGCTGCCAGGGCTCTCCTTGCTAGTAGGCAGCGCGCTCTGACAAACCGGTTCCTCAGGGAACGCTGGCTGAGGCGGCCGGTGCGGTTCAGTAACGTGTAAGTAACATGCATCAGGCGGTGTCTGTGCAGCTCTGGGACTGATCTGTAGCAAACGGATCAGTGTTTGTCCAGTGGATCCTCTTAACAAGGTGAAATTTATATGATTGACTAATGTTAGTGAGGCCAGGAGATGAGCTCAGCTGCATTGCCTTGAGTCTTAGGCTGTGTTGTGATTCCTGGCTGTAAAATGCTGTCTGTGTCTTGAGTTGTTGGGGAAAAAACCCCCACAAACCGAACAACAACAACAAAAAAACCCCTAAAACCAAACCCCCCAACTTCTGCCTTCCAGCTCATGGAGTAATGATCTACTGGTTTAGTTATTTGACTTAGCTAATGCTTAGCATGCGCCTTACCTGAATTTCATGTGACAGATGTAAGCACCAGCGCTGCGTTCAGCTGCAGCGTGCAGGAAGCGCAGTTCCCCGCTCCTGCCCTGCTGTTTCTTGCCCTCTCCTGTTTCTCACATCCCGCTTTGCTTTTTTCCCATCCCGTGTCCTGGCTGGGAGCGGCAGCCAACAGCCCGGGCTGGCCCAGCCAAACACTGCCTGTGTGTGACCTCTACCCAAAGTGACAGGGTGAATTATTTTAAATACCTGTACCTGAAAGCTGCTAATTATTAAGTGAAGACCTACCGCGTGCTAACGGGCCTGCTTGTCGTTTGCAGGGGCCTTGGGCAAAGCGCCCAGTAAAGTCACAGACGCTCTGCCAGAGCCTGAGCCCATGGGAGCGGCCGCTGCTGTTGACGAGGAGGAGGACATTGAAGCAATGCAGTCGCGATTAGCTACCCTGCGTAGCTAAGGATGAAACGAATGTGTACAGTTTGCCTTTTTTTTTTTCTTTTTTGCAGTGGAATATTCTTTGTGTAATATATATGTATTTTTTTTTTTCTTCCTGGGGAGTGCATTTTCCAAGAAACTACTGTAATATACTTCTTCTTGGGGAGTGCGGTCTGTAGAGATTATCTTACCTTTTTCTGTTCAGCCCCTCTCCCCCGTGAGAGGCGGTGGTGAAATGGCAGTGGTGGTGTCATGTTCTGTATTTTTAGATACAAAGTCCTGAAACACATTCTTAGCTTCTAGTACCATCCATCTTTCCCAAAAAGGCACTTTGGCTTAATCTGCTACCAAAAACCTTCAGTGGTAAGATCTCTGTTTTTCTGAATCACTACAAATTTTATTAAAGCTGCTCTTAACAGTTGCTTCTGTGCTTCCGTTTGGTTTGCATCACTTAAAACTCTTTTCAAAAACGCCATCCACTTCTAACAGCCCCAGTGTGGTTTTATAGCAACTTTTTTTTTTTTTTTTTTTGTCCTTCTCTTTAGCACATTTAGGGCCTTCACAGCCTGGACTCATAGAACAACCCAAGGTGGAAGGGACCCTGGCAGCTCATCTGCTCCAGCCTTTCCTGGGAAGGGCAGTCTGGATGAGATAATCTAGCACTCTGTCCAGCTGCATCGTGAAAATCTCCAGTGATGGGGACCCTGCCACATAGCAGGGCAGGCTGTTCCAGTGAGTGATTGTTCTCACTGTAAAAAAATTTCTTATCTTGAGCTGAAGCCTGTCCTGGTGCAGCTTGTTCCTGTTGCCTCTTATCTCTTCCACATGGCTCCTTGTGAATCGTTTGTTGAATTGGTTACCAGACCATACAAGAAACATACCAGAAGTTTCTGTAAAAATAAACTCTCTGGCAGACAGCTGAAGTTTCATGACTAGTCTGCATGAGACAATCTTTTGTCTTTGCTAAAAAAAATAACATTTTAAAAAAAGCACTAAGCATTTATTTTTCAAATGTAAATAAACAAATTTGCTGGTAAGATCACTGCTACCCAGCTGACACTTTACAGCATAGAAAGGTGTTCAGTCAGCGCAGCTGTTCAATAGCTGCTCTCTTCAGGCCTTATTTAGCAAAGGCAGCTGGGGCTGCCGCCCTGCTGCACTGCGTTCCCTCCCTCCTTCCCAGCCGGGAGCTCTGCCAGGGGCCAGAGCCGCAGCTCTGCGGCCGTGGGCACCCAGCAGCTCACGCTCCCTGCCCTGCTCCACCGAGGACAGCCCCAGCAGCGCTCCCAGGCCCACACAAGCCCTGCCCTTGCCCTTGTCATCTTGGCCACGGCCAGAAGCTTTTTTTCTTTTTTTTCCCCTTTCCCCCCCTTCCTTTCTCGCTCCCAGGCACAGGTCAGCCATGCTCCTAAAAGACAAACGCCAGTCCCACCATCTCCGTGCTCTACAGGAGCTGAATGAGCACAGCCCCAGAGCAGGGTGAGCAGCTCTGCTTTCCTCTCCCTCAGCCCAGCCTCTTCAGGGGCAGGAGAGGGCAGCTGAGGCTCACAGGTGGAGGGAGAGGAGCACTCAGGACAAGTTCACATCCCCATGAGTGAAGAGGAGGCATGAGCCATGTCTTCTCTACCCAGTGCCCCGCACCCCTGGGGAGAAAGGAGCCCAGCTGGGGAGAGCAGCCACTGGGAGAGCCAAGCATAACGCAGCCGGCATGACCAGGAGGGGACTTGTGCAGGCAGAGCCTCGCTGGACCTGGGCTCTGCCAAGGGAGGTGACCTGCAGTGCCATTGCAGGCAGCACCTGGTCAGAACCCACCCCTGTCATTAATTTTTATAAAAACAACTGAAAAATGTAAACCCCGGTACCCCCCAGGCTTCTGAGAGCAGCTGCTGAACAGTGGCATTTGTTGCCCACTCCACTCCTTTGCAAATCCAGTAAGAGGGCACAGGAGCTTTATGGACAAACAGGGACTGGGCAGAGCTCCTCATCTGGTATTGCGTTAGCCCCTGAAGCACTGCACCAAGAGGGAGGTTTGCTTCCACTAGCCTAATGTTTTCTTAATCACTCCAGGTACTGCCACTTCACTGTCCCCCAACCACATGCAGGGAAAAGCCATCTGCTGCTTAAGTGGCACATTTTGGGGGTCAGAGGAGACACATGCCTCCTCTCAAGGAAAAACTTCAGGCAAAACTGACACTGTGACTCACAAGGGGCAGTTTGCAAGGCCTGAACATGTGAATGAAACAAGAGCCTGACAAGCAAAGGGAAGTGTTTCTGATTTTAAGGAAGACTTAGCAAAAGCAGCCTAAGTCTGTAAATAATTGTTCCAGCAGCGAGGGTAGAAGAACAGACAAGGAGCACCCACAGCAGGCAAAGCAACCCCAGTGCTTCAGGGCTGTGCCCTCGCTCGCAGAGCAGCACCATTGGGGTGTTCATGTCCACCCCAAACGTAACAAGAGGCAGCAAACAGGACAATTTGTTTCCTGTGGTCTTAAAAATACAGAGAGCAGATCAGAAAGAAAAAAAAAAAGAGCAGCTGAAGAGCAGGTAAGATCAGGTAGGTAACAGCTGCAATAAACCCTGATCAAGCAGTGGCACAGTGGTAAGAAAGCTCCCGATCCAACATCAGCCACCATCTTTTCATACACACATGTGCGTGCGTACGTGCGAGACCAGCGCGACTGGCTTCCCTGGCCGGGCGGCGAGGGACCTGCACGCCAGCTCCCCTCACACGCCCCAGCTGGCTCCGAGAAAAGGAACCGGGCTGCTTTCTTTCATCGACTTCAAACTTGATACTGCAAGAACAAACGTTCAGCTAAAGCCTTGCCTTTAAGGACACTTAACTAGTTCAAGCATGAAATGCCAAATCAAGGGTTTATTGCTCCTCTTTATAATTATATATAATCATTTAGCTTGGAAAAGACCTTTAAGATCACCCAGTCTAACCATGCAGAGCTAAAGCTGGTTGCAGCGACTCGAAACAAGCCAGGCTATTTACTGTCGGGGGCCTCAGCAAGCAGTGGCGGAGGCAGGTTCTCACTGAACAGAGCACAGATGTGCTGCTGAGCCAAATCTAAGCTAGCAGCATAAGCCAAGTGAACCGGAACGTTTCCCCGCACAAGGGGAACACCACGGCGCCAGCTGTCAGCGGTCACCTGGAGATGCACAGCTCCTGCGGAGCGGGCCGCTGCGGCCAGCCACAGGGACTGGGCCAGGCAGTCACCACACCTCAGCTTCGTTTCGGGTTTGGTTTTGCTGCTTGGTGCCTCCTTTTGTCTCAGTTTTGAGGGGAAGCAAGCAGATGTACCTGTTGGGAGGAGACAAACCTTTTACTATCCCACTTTATTCTAACTGAAGAGGCTCCTACTCCCTGCACGTCACCGCAGTCCCCGCTCCAGCTACCGAGGGATGGATAAGCAGAAGTTTCTTTGAAAACAATACTGTCACCCGAGACAGACTCCCACAGTTAATGCTGATCCATAGTAGCAGGTGAAGTACTACAGGGAGGGGAGGTTGCAGAGAGTTTGTCCATTTGTTACATGAAGTTCAGAAAAGTGACTTTTGGCTAAGTAGGAGGTTCCCCTCCTGCCTGGCTCTTCCCAACAGCTCTGCTGTGCGCTGAGGGACAGAAAGGTTCATTTTATCTCAGCTTACCTTGTTAGATGAGAGATGCACTTTCCCAGTCTTGACCCCTCTGCCTGTTTGAAGTTTTATGATGTTTTCAGTCTTTATCTAAGCAATTTTGGAGCAACACGTGGGCCATTTAAGACTGAGGCTGCAAAACTCATTCGACACGGACTGCAGTACTGGCAGTGGCTGAGAAGCAGTAGTCAAGCTAAGCCACGTTTTGGTGAACCAAAAAAAAAAAGCCGTATAACCAAAACAAAAAAAGCCATAAGCAGATCCATCACCAAACTCAATACCCTAAGCCTTCAGATACTTTAAAAAACAGTACGAACAGTATGCGATACACAATTTTCTTTTGCATTTCAAAGCACTGCATCAAATTAATTACATTTTAAAGAGTCAATTGAAGAAGCCAGGCAAGGAACAATATCTGAAATAGAAGAATTTTATGTAGACCATTCAGTGTTAAAAACTGGAGAATCAAACATCAGTTGAAATTAAAGAGCAGTTTCAAACAGAAGACATTTGATTAAAAGTTTCTTTTAACATTTAGAAATTTAAATACATTTACCTAAAGATGGTTAACCCCCATCTCTATGTTACTATACAATAGCTTAAAGCTACTTTTAAATGCTAGTTCTATGTTAATGTGAAATTCCAGAACTGCATTCTTATTTTTATGTAAATTGGTTATTAAATTGGGTGACTCCGTACTTCCTCCCATCCCAAAATACATTTTAAAAATTGGAGCTTTACACCGTCTTGAATAATATTGTTCAAATGAGTAATTTGGAATAGTTTCCGACAGTTCTATAGGAGGTATTTTGTACAGTTTGGAGAGCAACTCCATATAAAGTTCTGTTGTAACTGAGCATTCACAGTATGCCCCAGTCCATACATATTACTACATATACATATCAGGTTTGTAAACATTGGAAGAATACACAGAACATAGTACCACGATCCTCTGGTACTGCTGAAAGGAAGATGAGGTAACATTCATATAATCTCAAGTCCACAGAGGTCCTGACTGAGTAGTTAAAACAGCTGCCAACGCTTCTGTTTCATAGTGTGTGGTTAAGGCTTTCTACTTCACGGTCTGCTAAGGCTGGATTCGTTCGCTCTCAGTATCCCAACTGCATCTTTAACAGCGTGGTATATGACATTCTTCACCTAGGAGGAAGAGAAAAGGCGTTCAGTTTTACAAGTAAACAGCACAGTTCGGGTCAGGTTGGAAGCCCCCAACACACGGAAGACACCTGCACAACTCTCCCACTTCCCCGCACCCCGTCACGCAGCTCTGCTTTCGGTTTAAACGCGCTCATCTGCACGAGCACCGCTTAAACCACAACTTCTGAAAATAAGGTTCAAATTGTAACAGGGTATAAACTGAAACCCTGGAGCTTGAGGAGGGTATTTTGCAAGCTCAGCTAGAGGGAAAACAAAAGAAATGGAAGAAAGAAACATT